TCCTCTCGTAAATTAGATGTTTTGGCAGTTCTTGGGACTCCAAGATTGATTGTCATGGCTTCATTTTGTATGTTTTCGAGCCTTTTCATGCCGCTTTGGGAGTAGGTGCATAAAACTGGTGCGGCATAGTCTATGACGGAGCGCACAGAGGCTGTGTACTTCATTTTAAGTACAGCAATAGAGGCTTCATGTCCATTCCAGGTCATAGCTTTCAGTGCCCCGAGTCGACTTTTGCATGTTCCTATGAGTTGGTTGAGCTCCTCTTTCTTCCCCTTGTTAGAGCCGACAGTGACGCCAAGGTACCGATAGTGGTCAACCCATTTAAGTGTTACACCATTAATTTGCAGTTCTTCATTTTCTCCCCGCTTGTGATGGGAGTATGCTTTTGTTTTGCTTGTGGAGAGAGTGAAACAGAGCTCAATACATTTTCTTCCGAGGAGTTCAATGGACTGTTTAATTTTTCTCTAGGTGGGAGCTTGTATTAGGACATCATTTGCATACCCTACTTGTTGCGTTCCTTCCGGAAAATCAATATGTATTTGCAATGGTGTTCATAAGTATATTGAACAATGTGGGGCATAAGACCCCTCCATGGGGGGTACCGAGTTCCATATTCATTGTTCTCGAGACTGCTCCATTGAAGCAGACCTTGGCTTTCCTCCCTGTGAGGTAGTCTTCAATCCATTTCAAGAGTCTCCCCTTGACATCCATGCATGCAAGCTCGTCCAGGATCGCAATCCCTTGTGCTTTGTTGAAGTCTCCTTTGATGTCAACAAATACAGAATACTTAGCTGTGTCATTAGCTAGGTAATTAACTATACAATTTACTGTGATCCGTCCTTTAACAAATTCATTGACCCCCTCCCCTAGCGTGTCTATTTTGTGCAACAGTCGGTTTAGAATGATCCTTTCAAGCATCTTGCAAGTGCATGACACGAGACTGATAGGTCTGTAATTGCCAGGGGTCATTGGGCTTCGGTATGGGGACAATTATTGCGTGTTTTTATTGTGTAGGCAACAATCCACTTAGGAATGATTTGTTAAACAGGTGGAATAATGGATTCCCAGACACTTCACACAGTGCATTGAGTATGTCGTAGGTGACGCCATCCTCACCAGGTGCTGTACTTTTACCCTTTTCATAGCCCTATTACTTCCTGGGCTGTGACTGGTTACCCATACTGGTCATCACTAGACCTTGTTATCTCTTGTTATCCTAATTCTTCTGTCATTATGTCGCAGGAGCTGGTCCCTGCTTACGTCTGCAGGGAGGAGGGGAAAGATGCTGCATCACACCTAAATCAATCACCACTTGTGAATTAGTTCCTCAGCCTTACCCTGGGGGTCTTTGTGAGCCGCAGACCGGGTTCTGCCCCCCTTAACTATCTGAATTTTTTGCCCACACTTGTCTTGCAGATGTTTCTCTTCCAGTGGAGCTAGTGAAGTCAAGCCACTGTCTTTCCCGCTCTTTAATCTTCTCTTCCCTGGCTACTTGACACACAGTTTTAAACAGCTCTTGGTTGCTTTCGGTGGGATGTCTCTGGTACTCTCTACTCATGCTCTTTACATTTGCATTGAGCATCTCTATGTAATCGTTCTTATACCATTATATTTTCTTCTTCTAAGGGTTACTTCGCCTAGTCGTATAGCGCGGAACTGAGACAATTTGGTGATTAAGGTCAATCAACATATATATCAATGTCTTTTGGGATTTGGTATTCCGTGAACCAGTCACCCATCTTATTTATGAAGTACGACCTCATATCCGCTCCTAGTGATAACCTTTTTCTTTGATTTGTCTCTTTCCTTCTCTTGCTCATGTCGACGGTGGTAATCAGTGCCAGTGGTCACTACATAAACTGTGTACAATGTGTGTTCCGCCATCCGTGTCCTGTGCATTCAGCAGGAGAGCATAGTCTAATCTTCCTCCTCTGAGGTGAGTTGGCTGTTCATCACCCAGGACCCCAAGGTTTTCACTTCCTCTAACATAGAGCGACACTTTCCGTCCAATGACATCGGGCTGATGACAGTTGATCAGGCTGCTGAAGCCCTAGTTTCAAAAGTTGTTTTTATTCCTAGTAGTGAAGGTCAGTGGACTACCGATGGGGTGAGAGGTTCGACGGGAGGAATGCTCGACAATGCACGAGTCGACACAGTTGACGGCAGGTCAGCTGGAGGCGGCTGTGGTCGACCTCCACACTGGGGAAGGGCGATGACCACCTCCCAAGGAGTGATTTTTGTGGATTTTTTAATGTAGTATATAGTTGTGTGCAGTAACGTAGTGGAAGAGGGGCAAAGTACAGTGAGACTGAGCACTTGTGCTGGGTGGTGAGTCAGGCGTAATGGTGTAACAGTGAGTTTGAGGCCATACGATGATTACATGTTATGAACAGTGACACCTAGAGTTCACTGTGAAGTGAAAATTTGTTTACAGCGATGATATAGTCGAGGAAAAGTATTCCTTTACACCTCCCAAAAGTGTCTTGGAAAGTACAAAGTTAACTATTTTTCCTTCCTATAACAGTGTGATTTTCATAAACCGGTGTGTGGTGTTTTGACCAATGAGACTCGCCGTTACAAAGCGCCTATTCATTCATATTCTTACCCAATACTACGACAACAACAAAAGCGGCGTTGCCATTTTCCACCAAAGTGAGGAGTAAGAGGAATAACATTCTTCCTGGACTGTACATATATAATGACAAAGTGGAATTTAAGGTAATTCTCGAAGTTTATATTTATTTATTTATGTAAAAGTATATTCATAGAGAATGGGTTACAAGCAGAATGGTGGATTAATGGAGTTAGTATATACTATACCTAAATATTAAGTGATAAGTCAGGGTTGGGAGGGAGCCAGGTGTTGGAGAGTTGGGAGGAACGGCTTGAGTGACTGTCATGTTTAGACTGCGAGCGAAACTGGTAATGTTTATATGTTGTCTGTGATCTCACTCATCCCAGGGACCTCACCCACCAACCAGGGACCACACCCACCAACCAGGGACCACACCCACCAACCAGGGACCACACCCACCATCCCAGGGACCACACCCAACCAGGGACCACACCCACCATTCAGGGACCACACCCACCAACCAGGGACCTCACCCACCAACCAGGGACCACACCCACCAACCAGGGACCACATCCACCATTCAAGGACCACACCCACCACCCAGGGACCACACCCACCATCCAGGGACCACACCCACCAACCAGGGACCACACCCACCAACCAGGGACCACACCCACCAACCAGGGACCACACCCACCACCCAGGGACCACACCCACCATTCAGGGACCACACCCACCATTCAGGGACCACACCCACCACCCAGGGACCACACCCACCATCCAGGGACCACACCCACCATCCAGGGACCACACCCACCATCCAGGGACCACACCCACCATCCAGGGACCACACCCACCAACCAGGGACCACACCCACCAACCAGGGACCACACCCCCCATTCAGGGACCACACCCACCACCCAGGGACCACACCCACCATTCAGGGACCACACCCACCATTCAGGGACCACACCCACCACCCAGGGACCACACCCACCACCCAGGGACCACACCCAGCACCCAGGGACCACACCCACCACCCAGGGACCACACCCACCACCCAGGGACCACACCCACCACCCAGGGACCACACCCACCACCCAGGGACCACACCCACCATTCAGGGACCACACCCACCATTCAGGGACCACACCCACCACCCAGGGACCACACCCACCATCCAGGGACCACACCCACCATCCAGGGACCACACCCACCAATCAGGGACCACACCCACCAACCAGGGACCACACCCACCACCCAGGGACCACACCCACCATTCAGGGACCACACCCACCATTCAGGGACCACACCCACCACCCAGGGACCACACCCACCACCCAGGGACCACACCCACCACCCAGGGACCACACCCAGGGACAAGAGAGGGACCAAGAAGAGAGAGCAGGCCGAGCACCACAGGGGTCAGGTTTCCCGTGTGGCAGGTATTCTGGCCAAGGGTTCGAGGTCGGCCTCTGCAAATTCTGTCACTGTCGAGTGACCGAGATTCAGTCTTTGTGTGTTGTGGCTCTCACGCTGGCTGATACAAACCATTTATTAAGCTGTGTAAGACGGGCTCACCATAGCCCATGCTACTTGGAACTTTTTGTTCTAGGTAGCGAATCTTTAACAACAACAACAGCTGTGTAAACTTTTGTATTTAATTATGAGAATTGTTAGTGTGATGGTTGTAGTTAAGGTGATTTGAGTGACCCCAGGGTGGTGGGTGGCCCCAGGACCACAGGATCACAAGTCCAGCGTGCTGTCCGCTCGGCCGACCGGCTCCCCTTTGCCCTACATATACATGTAGGGCAAGCCTGGACTTTCAACCCAAACCTTCTGCACATTTTGTAGTTTAATACAAGGACTCTATTTAACTCATTTTTTTTGTATTTACTTGTCGATTAATGTATTAAAAACATCTACTGCTTTATCTAAGCCATTCTATTTAATTATTAGTTATACACTTAAGAAGTTTTGTATGACAACTCTGGAACTCACATGGATTTGTTCATTAATTTCAAGATTGCTTGTTTTTTTTTTTACCTTGTCAATTTCCGCTTTAGAATCTTTTATGTCGCTAACATGTCTTCCTTCGCCTAGTGTTCATGTCCAGGAGTCATGCAGCACTTGCGTGTTCACTTACGAATTGTGTACATCTTTCCTCTATCATGGCGGCCTCGTATTTCGTAAGCAATGTATAAGTTTGGGTAATTATGAACCAATATTGTTATCAACAACTTCGTAGCGCTTCGGAGCTTATAAACTATTTAATAAATACTAGCACAAAAGATGTAGAGGCTTCGTAAGTGGGTGATGGAGCTTGGCTCAGGTCCTTCTCCCCTCGAGTGTGGTGAGGTCCGGCTCCCACGGTCTTAATCTCTTGAATATACATTGTTTGTTTTATAGTTTTGTGTTCTTTCAGGTTGGAAATGCTATGCTTCAAGAGACACGACTCTTACAGCACCTTCGTCAGCGGCCTGTGACCGCCAGGGACCAAAGAGCTGGAGCTCAACCCCCGCAAGTACAACCAGGTGAGTACACACACCACTGTTTCTGTAGACATGTGTTTATGTGCTTGCTGCGGGGCTGATTGTAATGATTTTTAGAGCAGTTGTTATTTTGTCGTTATGACTTTAATTTTATTGTATTTTATCGTTGCTTGTTTCTGAGTTAAGGCAGGAAAATGCACCTTAGGGTATAGCATTATACTGAGCTTGGTTTACCAGCACGAGGGAAATAAGGTGTTGCAACAAGGGTCAAGGCTGAGCCTCGAGGGCCACTTGACGCACCTTAGCTGTCGGGGAGCTGGGGGCAGGCACTTGTTGTTGTAGATTCAGCTACTGGGAACCAAAAGTTGCAAGTAGCACGGGCTATGGTGAGCCCGTAGTAGACTTACCTGGCACAGGAGCGGGGCTATGGTGAGCCCGTAGTGTACTTATCTGGCACAGGAGCGGGGCTGTGGTGAGCCCGTAGTGTACTTACCTAGCACAGGAGCGGGGCTATGGTGAGCCCGTAGTGTACTTATCTGGCACAGGAGCGGGGCTGTGGTGAGCCCGTAGTGTACTTACCTGGCACAGGAGCGGGGCTGTGGTGAGCCCGTAGTGTACTTATCTGGCACAGGAGCGGGGCTGTGGTGAGCCCGTAGTGTACTTACCTAGCACAGGAGCGGGGCTATGGTGAGCCCGTAGTGTACTTATCTGGCACAGGAGCAGGGCTGTGGTGAGCCCGTAGTGTACTTACCTGGCACAGGAGCGGGGCTATGGTGAGCCCGTAGTGTACTTACCTAGCACAGGAGCGGGGCTATGGTGAGCCCGTAGTGTACTTACCTGGCACAGGAGCGGGGCTGTGGTGAGCCCGTAGTGTACTTATCTGGCACAGGAGCGGGGCTATGGTGAGCCCGTAGTGTACTTATCTGGCACAGGAGCGGGGCTGTGGTGAGCCCGTAGTGTACTTATCTGGCACAGGAGCGGGGCTGTGGTGAGCCCGTAGTGTACTTATCTGGCACAGGAGCGGGGCTGTGGTGAGCCCGTAGTGTACTTATCTGGCACAGGAGCGGGGCTGTAACTGGCAGGGAGTCACTAACACCACTAACCTCTCTTACCGCACCTGGACCAGGTGTGTATATATCTCTCTCTCTACTTATCTTTTATTTTGTAGTAACATAGTCAGCCTTTACTCGTATTTCAGTCTTCTCAGTTCTGAAACTAGTCCTATGGCGCCTCTTTGAGCTTATTCAAGTTTTGTTTAATGGCGGGAGCTGTACTCCAGAGCCGCATCTTCCTGTACTGGTCTCATGTAGTGTACAGTGCACTGAAAGCTTCTTTGTCCAAATTTCAAATGTTTTCTGGCTTATAATATGCCGCTGATGGGATTCTGTTGATGTGTACGTGTTGAGACTGGCTTGGTGTTGTCTCGCAAACATCGCTCTCCTTTGCAGATTAATTGAGCTGAATTCCCTTCAATGTGCATTGGATTTGCTGTCTCCTCGCTGCTTTCCCCACTCGCATAACATTTACTTGGGTTGAGATCGAGTAGCCATGTCTCAGACCATCCCTGATCTCAGGTAGTGGTCAAGACCTTGACCTCTACCTCAGAGATTGTGAACATCTAAGAGCCATCAGAAATGTGTGTAACATTATAAACCCCACATTGTTTGAGTTAGGAAAATATTGGCATATATGTAAATGGTGTTCTCAAAAGATTTCCGCCATTTTGCACCCGCAAGATAACGTATGATTTTAAGGGTTGACAGATGTTAATCTTCTTGTCTGAGGAGCTGTTCACTTGAGACAGTTAAGCAAGTCCCAGCTGTGTCTAGATACAAGTGACAGGATGAATAACCCAGCGGGTTTTCTTCCTATTGGGGAGTGTCCACTCACAGGATGAGTGGCGCTGCCCAATACTGTCACTATGGTGGTGTGTCCACTCGTAGGATAAGTGACGCCCAATAAACTCGCCCCTCGGGGCAAAACAAATAAAAAAACTATCCGTGCGGGGTGTCCAGGTCCTCCTAGAACGTTCTGCAGCTCTACCCGCTGCCATAGACATTTCCTGGCATTTGATATTCACTACCAACATTATAGGTCTTGTACTAATCTTTCCTGTACATAGCTTTCACCTCGGCTGCTACTCGTCTTTATACAGAGATTCATTTTATTTTGTAATCTTGTCTTGGTAATGTTAGTTTACTAACGCTGTGATCATGGGTTATATTCTCACATTACTGTGGGTGATCTGTCTCTCACGCTGTCATCTTCTCTCATTCTGTTGGTGTTCATTGTAAACAAAATTCAGCTTTTAAACTCTGCCACTTGTGAATATCTCGTGTTTGTCATGTTTGTATAGGTGTGAATATGTGTGTTTATATAAGAGGTGTTATGTAAGGAAGATTGTAGCACCTACTGTTCCTCCCCTGGATCCCCCCCCCCCCCACCAGCCTTTTCATCTTTTTGACCCCCAGCTTCTCCTTCTCCTGAGCCCCCAGGCTCTCCATCACTAATACCAATCACGTATTGGTGATTGATGAAGATATACTAGTATACTGATATACTAGTATATAGAGCTAGTATATACTAGTATATACTGGCTCTATCTTGAAACCCAAAATTCTATTTGTAACTCATTTTGTGTGCATGTACTTTTACCCTCGTTCGTGCCTCCCTTCAGATAGTGCCACGTTACCTACCATCTCAGTTAACGTGGCGTGTATTGGTTATATGGTGATCATGTCTCCCCGTGATCGTCTCTCATCCAGTGAGGTCGAGGTGAATACATCCACTATCACATTGTGATAGTGTGTGTAGAGAGCGGCAACAGCCGGCTCCCAACACACACCGTAGTGAGGCAGTTGGTTACTGGGTCTCGTACCTGAGTAGTGGGTGCACCAACCCGTCCTCTTAAAAATAACGTCGCTTTTCGCTCGTATGCGACGCTATGGCCAAAAATGGACGTACTGTAATTTGAAATGAAATCAGCTCGCAAAAGTGATGTACTTTCCAGTTTTCTGTTTGAGTCCTCTGGTTTGCTCGGAAAGGTTAGGAGAGAAAATTTTCAAATAACATTTTTCATGACGTTTTGATATGTAAGAAGAATTTCCTACCCACCTAACCTTACTTAACAGTAAGTTAAGGGTCAGAGGACCCTTAACTTACTGTTTTGGGAAAAAATCCAAAATTTATTTTCAATTTTTATATTTTGAAATTACGTCCATTATCGGCCATACGGACAAACGGCCAAAAGCGACGCAATTTTTAAGAGGACAGGTTGCACGTGTGTGTGGGGGGGGGGGGAGGGTAAGGGAAGTGAGGTAAATAGTTGGGAAACAAGTCAAGGTTGGGTTGTGTTGGGTTAAGCACCACCACCTCTACTGCCGCTTGTGTGGTACTTGTGTGGTGTGTGTACTTAACTAATTGTTTTCACCTAAATGTGCTTGCGGGGGTTGAGCTCTGGCTCTTTGGTCCCGCCTCTCAACTGTCAATCAACTGGTGTACAGATTCCTGAGCCTACTGGGCTCTATCATATCTACACTTGAAGCTGTGTATGGAGTCTGCCTCCACCACATCACTGCCTAATGCATTCCATCTATTAACTACTCTGATACTGAAAAAGTTCCTTCTAACGTCCCTGTGGCTCATTTGAATACTCAGTTTCCACCTGCGTTCCCTAGTTCGCGTACCACCTGTGTTAAACAGTTTATCTTTATCTACCCTATCAATTCCTGAGAATTTTGTAGGCAGTGATCATGTCTCCCCTTACTCTTCTGTCTTCTAGTGTCGTGAGGAGCATTTCTCGCAGCCTTTCTTCGTAACTCATGCCTCTTAGTCCTGGGACTAGTCTAGTGGCATATCTCTGAACTTTTTCCATCTTCGTCTTGCGCTTGACAAGGTACGGGCTCCATGCTGGGGCCGTATACTCCAGGATTGCTCTTACATATGAGGTATACAAGGTTCTGAATGAATCCTTACGCAGATTCCTGAAGGCAGTTTTGATGTTAGCCAGCCTCGCATATGCCGCAGATGTTATTCTTTTGATGTGGGCTTCAGTAGACAGGTTTGGTGTGATATCAACCCCTAGATCTTTCTGTCCGTTTCATTAAGTACTTTTTTTTTTGCATCAGCAAACAATGAGAGGAATGATTCTATACCATCTGGAAGATCATTTACATATATTAGAAACAGTATAGGTCTAAGGTCCAGGGTCCAAGGTCTGGTGCTTGTGTAGTGTTTGTCTGGTGATTATGTGGTGAGGGTGAGATTGTGTGGTGGTTGTAGGGGGGGGGGGTCAACAAGAGTGGTGGGGGCGCCACCAGACAATGGCCGGGTGGTAATCAGCCGAGAGCGTCATCAGAACAGTTTGAATACAGAACCATTACAGTTTGTGGAAGTGAAAGTGGGAGAGAATGATTACCCGAGGCGCGGGACGGGCTGGAATGTTGGGGCATGATGGATGGGGCAGGTGGTGGTGGAGGGATGAGACGGTGTTGGTGGTGGTGCTGGAGGGACGGGACGGGACGGACTGGCACCCCGGAGATGACCAAGGATAACTCGGCTGATCATGTCCACATCACAACAGAAGACGAGGCAAGAATGGGTAATCACTAGAAAAGGCAAAACTATAATTAGTCTAGCTATAAAACTTTCACGTCTCTTATCCATAATAAATGTGAGTCTCTCTTTTTATGGATTATAATGCGAGGTTCCACTCCCCCCCCCCCAACCCTCCCTCCTCCACACAGCTAGTTGTGTTGACACACACAAGTGGATGGCAATGAATCTGTGAAGGGTATCGAGGCGGTGTTGAGAGTGTTGTTGTCTTGCGGACAATATTACTGGTGGGGGAGTAGCCGTGTGCTGTGGTGGAGGACACGGCGGGGGTAGCCAGTCATTCGGCGGCGGCTCCTGTCAAACAAATTTCTCCTGAGTAAAGTGTGTGTGGGGGGAGTGGGGGGGGGGAGTGACCTTCATGTGCTGGCTTCCTTCCGCCCCCCTGTCTCCACCACCACCACCACCTCCCACCTGCAAAATCTCAGTTT